CAGTGAAAATCCTTAAAAAATGCACTGAATAGTATGGTTTATAGTTTATGATATGTATAATACATACAGACAATATTTCTACATTTTAAATTAATAAATTGACCAATATTATACATTATCTACCAAAATTATGATATGCGTTGTATAAAACGTGAAAATGAAAGAACAACACTCTTTTATATTATTCATAAAGTGTGAGATAGATTATAGTACAGGTATAAAAAATTGTCAAATTCAAACAAAACGATGATAAAAAATAAAAAAATAAATATTCAAAAAGGGGGGGCTGGGAACACGGGAAATCAAGTTTTCGCTTATAACGGGAGTAGGGGTAAAGTGAGGGGTTTTAAAATTTCAATCAAATGTCAAACAAAATAATAGTAAAAAAAAAATGAAACATTCAAATTATTTAGACTTGTGGGGTTGTAGACATATATCCCCAGTCAACTCATAGTTTTTGGTATTGTATAAAAACTATTGTCGAACAAATTCTGATATTTATCAAACAAATTTAAACAAATCACAAACAAATTATCAGCAAAATAATTTTCTAGAACATCTTTGGTGAGGGAGCGGAGGACATGTACGTTGATACGCGGGTATATGGCCGTATCTATTGTATAGCTTGAAATTTGATAAATATAAATAATACAACTTGTGGTTATATGCATAGGGGGAGGGAGCTTAGACCCCCCTAAATATTTTAATAGCCCCCCAAAATCGAAACTTTATTAGAAACGTTATTCGTTGTTTTTATAATTATCTGTTCGATTTTTTGAAAATCGGAAAATAAGAAATAATTAAAAAGTATTTACAATATCATTAGCAATACCAATTACATAGTTTCGCTACTTGCAAAAGAAGTTTCAGTGCAATAAAAAAAATAAAAACTTGGCTAAGGATATCGTTGGTTCAAGATAGGTTCAGCGATCTTTCAATACTATATATTAAAAAGATTTATCGAAAAATATAAAAAACGATGATATTTTGAATATCTTTGCTGATACAAATATATATTTATCATTAAAATAAAATATTAATTATTTTTAAATATACGTTATTAAGTGTTTTTTTAATACAATTTAAACATATCTATATTTTTAATAGTAATAAGTTTTACTTATGCATTGCAAGAGGGTGTGGGGGTGAAGCCCCTGCGGGTTATTTTACATTGAATTATTATAGCCCCCCTCCCCCAAAAAAATTCAACCAAATGTCCGCCTATGGTTATATGTATTACGTGATTTGATATCGCATATATTATTATTATTTTTCTTTTTTTAATGGAAAATTCAAATTTGTTATCATTGAACATCAAGTTTTTGTTATCAAACAGTCACAACTAAGGATGTGTAGTTCATGAATGAGTTTTTTTGATTTCTACCATACGATAGTTACTACATGAAATAAGGCGTATATCCTTGATTTATTTTAGCAATACATCACTGGTTATCATAACACTTATTTACGACTCAATATAATCAGTGGCGTATTTTCAATTTTTTCTGGGGGGGGGGTCCACAGTTTATACATAATTAATATAAACTATATATTATATTGTAATAGTTACGTTCTTATGCAGTTTTTGGAGGAAGTTGAACTAAATATATAATGTAATAATCGTATAGTCTTATGTAATATTATATATATATATATATATTGTATTTAGCATTATATATTATAAAGTATTGTTATAAAATAAATTCTAGTAGTTTTGATTTTTTAGCCAACTCCTGTATCACTTCATCAACAGTAATTTCAACTTCCTTGTGAATGTTTAGCATAGCCAATTCTGCAAACATGTAAGAATTTTAGTTTATTTTTTAATTTTTGGAAAGGTTCTGAGGGGGTCCAGTACCCCCCTGTAAATACGCCACTGAATATAATTGTATATGATATGCATAATATATAACATATCTATGGTAGTGTACAGTGTGATTCTACAGCACACAGATTAATAACTAATTATTTAATGACCTAACTAACTAAAATAGTGCAACCAAAAATAATTAAATCATGATGAAATATAATATTATGAAAATGCAATAAAAGATTTGTTTAACATATTTTTTTAAATTTTTACTCATTATTATAATTATTATTCACCGATATAATAATATTATAACAATATAATTATAACCTAATATAATTAGGTACCTTACTGTACATTTATTTTAAACATATTATTATTTACCAATAATGCTATTAAAATAAAAATTTTAAATAATGAAAAACTTGGTAAAAATAGGTCTTATTCAAATACATAGGTAATTTGGGAGTTTGAAATTTTGAAAACTGAAGTTCAATCCACCCTGTAAGAAGTCTTCCCAAATTCAATGAAAAAAAAATTATTACAATCGTGTCACTTAATGAGGTGTGAAAATGTTTCCAGTAAGGCATGTTTTTGAGCAAAAAAGAGGTCGGGTACAGGCCTCTTAAGAAAAAAAAATGATAACCTCTAGAATAAATTAACTTCACATAAACCATAAAAATAAGTAAATATACTCTAAATAACAATTAATTTCAAATATGTCTAATATGCATTTTTCCTAAAAAAATGGCAAATATCCAAAAATATACAATTAAAATGTTTATTTTTTATTTCATTAAATTATAAAATAAATTCATATCTTACTCAAATTATTCTACAGTCATTACTAAAGAATATGTAAATGCAACAAATCCTGACCATTACACATGACTAATATTTTGATGTTTACATTTCAACATTTATACACAAAACCAAATTTGATATTTTTCCAAGAAACTAAGTATCAGTTTTGGTTTTAATGACTTCAAATAATATTCAATCAATGATCTATTTTTATTTTTAGGGAATAGCAGAATAATTCTTCTAATAATTAATTGCAATTATTGCAAAATGGAATAATTATTAATTTTATATAAATATTTAAAAAATAGATAGTTTCTCAAATATTTAAGAAATTTGAATAAATATAATAAGCACTGAGCAAATAAGCATACCATTATTTACTGAATGACATTTAGTACCATATACATTTTCTCTGCTAAATGTTTGCCCAATATAATTTTTCTTCTTTATCTTTTTCTTCTTCTTCCTCTTCTTTTTTACTCTACAAATAATTGATACTATTAATTATATCAAAACAACAATGTAAATGTAAACATTGTCAACTGCCGAAATTAAAAAATTAACAAAAAAAAAAATTAAAATATATCCATTGTTGAACTTAAGGATTTAAGGGTAGGGCTTCAAGGCAGTTACTGAAAAAGGGACAATTTAAAAACAAATTAATAAAAACTGCATTTATTTTTATATACTCAACGAACTATAAGAAAAAATGATTATACATATATCATTATCATAATAAAAAAAAAAATATGTTAATGTATTAAAATTTAATATAAAATAACACATTTATGAAAAAAAATGTACAAGTTTTAATAATATAATTTACTTGACATAATTTTAAATGACAAAATTAAATTGTTTTATGACAAACTTTTTTTTCTGCAAAAGAATGTATAACTTCACTGTTGTCGACTGATAGTATTATTTCTAATTCAATGTACAACATGAAGTGAATTAAGTCTATAATCTAGTCTATTGGATCTACAATAATTTTAATTACTTTATACATCCATAACAATATAGTGTAACATAATATTAATATCCAAGTTACTACCTACCTCATAATAATATTCTTAAAAGCCTATTTCTATCTAACCCTAAAAATAAGTAATATTCTACACACAAAATATTCTCTTTGTTGATCCATTTTGTGTGAATTTTTTTTTGTACTTAGCCAGAGACCTGGGCACCGAGAAGGAAAAAATCCCTAAGTAGCTGCCTAGTTTGTCTAGGTGGAAATTCTTTACTGAATATATCAATATCGTTAATTTTATTAGGCTGAAGATTCAAATTGACATTCTAAAATTTATAATTGGTAAAATTTGCCAAAAATAAATAATAGCTGAATACCTCAATTGGCATCATTATTCAAAATTGATTATTGTATACATTTTAAATAAGTTTTAATATTCAGCTTGGCTTGAAAAGGTAAAAATGTAATTAAAATAATGATAGATTTATTGTATAATAATTCTATAAAAAAAAAAAAACTCAATTCAAATTTATAAGCATTATAATAAGTCATTAAAGTAATATGATACAGTGAACACATTTACGTATAAAAACAATAGCATTAAGTTGAGTTAATTTTTTTTAAATGTGTCGCGTCCCGCGTAGTCACACGGTAAAACACATCACAAGGAGGTTCCCATGTACATCAAAAACCACAACTATGGATAAGTTAGATTATTGTGTTCACGTGGTTATTACACTAGAGATTACAATAAGGAATTAGAATATCGAAATCACAAGTGAAAGGGTTCACATAAACGTTTTTCTGGGAAATTGAAATAAAATAGTTTATCGGAATGATGTGGTGACCACATCCTGGGCATTTGCATCAATAATTATGTCACGGTCTGGAGATAACGCACACACACTCACAATTTATAGGAAATTATCTTATTTTATTATCTTATTCATTTACACACACACATTTGGGATTTTACACACACACATACAATATCACATATAAAAAGGATCCGAAAACAAGGGCAAATCAGACGAGTCTTGTCTATGCTGCACTGAGCACCTTCACGACAATGTATGTTATGGTCTGGACTTAGAAATATTTCCAATTATTTTATAAGTTACAATTGTTAGGACTTAAATAATTTCTATCACTAGAATATTTACAGAATTTTGTAGTTTGGATAATTTTATAAGTTAAATAAATTTAATTATTTTAAAAAGAAGTCTTAATTATTCCTGACTACACTTCCACTCAAGCGTTGACTGAGACGTTGTAACTGAATTAACGGATCAAACGGTTGGCACGTAACAAATGTTTAAATTTATGTGAATAAAAAGGAAAACTATAAGTATTATAATAGGTTTTATTTAAAAAAAAAAAACATTGTGTTACTATATTTTTTACTTTCTTGGTTAATTTAACTTAAGTAATATTTAATCTACAAAATTTAAAATAGATCTAAGCATTTTAAAACAAATACTACTGAGAATCAAAAAAGCTCCTGTGTAATTTGGACAAGCCCATATATTAATTGTATTATAAATATATATATACTCACAATAAACCATCAATTTCAATATTTTCTGAATTATTTAAAGTTAAAGTAGCAGCAGCAACATCTAAAATTTAAAATTATTTTAGTTATAAAATTATAGTTATTTTATTTATTTAGTTTAAATGCAAATAAGCTATAAATTAAAAATGTTTAAGATGAAATCAGCTCATTTTTTATTGTCTTTGTCAATCTAACATGCACCATAACTAGGGCACTATAGAAGCAAGTATAATTGTCCACCATTTTGCGACAAATGATTACCAATTATTACTATCAAAACATACAGAATACAGATATAATAAATACATTTTCGTTAATAAAACTAAAAAATCTATATGATTTACACTGACACATTTTATTTTATTTACATTACATTACATTTACAAACTAATTAAGTTTGATATATATATATATATATATAGTTTTTAAACCCTATCATGAATATAATTTGAATAATATATCACCAAAGATGTGTGGTTGTACAGCAGTAAACTATTCCAATACACATAGTGAAGGTTTTCATCTTTTTCGGTTTCCAAGAGACCCTAAAAGACAAAAAACTTGGTTACAAAATTGTCACCGCGACAAATGGCAGCCTACAAATTCATCTGAGTTGTGTAAAGTTAAGCATTAGATTAAACTTAAGAAGCCTTATTCATAATGTATATATACAATTTAGTCATGTTAATATTTTTTGTCGTTTTCTTTAGAACATAGTTATTATTTATTATTTTATATTTATTGCATTTTCCAATAGATCCATTTCGAAAAAGATCAATTCGAACAACACCGTCTGGATGGTGTAAAAAAACTAAAACCAAATGCTTTACTAACATTATTTGATATACCAAATGCACCTCTCTTGTTGGAAATCAAAAAAAAAATTTTGTATAAGGTATATAAATATAAAATAATAAATAATAACTATGTTCTAAAGAAAACAACAAAAAATATTAACATGACTAAATTGTATAAATACCATATGAATAAGACTTCTTAAGTTTAATTTAATACTTACTTCACACAACCCAGATGAATTTTTAGGCTGCCATTTGTCACAGTGACAATTTTGTAACTAAGTTTTTCGTCTTTTAGGGTCTTTTGGAAACTGAAAAAGACGAAAACCTTCACTACATGTAATGTAGCAGTTTACTGCTGTACAACCACCCATTTCTTGTAAAATTTTATAGTTTCACATACAATATATAAATTAAAATAATATAATAAGACATTAAGCTGAATGGGCTGAATCTGTTATCACTATGTGTCAATTGTTGCAAAATAGCAGACGATCATACCCATTTTTTACGGTGCCTTACCATAACAAAACACACCACATAAAACATAAATTATAGCACTTATATCAAATCTTACATACTCTTAAGAGAAAAATCACATATTGAATAATAGTAATTACTAAGGATCGGATTTATATGTATGTATTAAAAAAACCAAAATATGTAAATATATATGTAATAACACATCACTTTATATGTGATAAAAAAAAAAATATGGAATATAAAAAAAAAAATGAAAATTAAATTCAATAATTAGTATTATTTTGTTTATGTACTTTTGGAAACATAGGAAATTTTCTGTATTGAATTATTAATAAATCGTAAAGGGACAAATTGTCAAAATATGTAGAAAAAAGTTGAATTATTAAGAAATATGTAAAAATATGTACCTATGACAAAATATGTAAAAATATGTAAAATAAAATATAGTTAATGTAATTGGAAATTGCTTGAAACAAATTTATCACTTACCTAAATTAATTTATTAAGTCACAGTAAAAATGTGTAGTAACATATAAATCCGAGCCCTAGTAATTACATAATTAGACATAATCAAATTCAGATATTATATAAGGGACGTACATTTTTTGAATTTGACATATTTTTAGAAATATAGTGATTAAATATACATACCATTGTACACTGGACAATTCTTTGTCTGGTGTATATTTGAAACAGAACTACATTGGAACGGCTTTTCACAAATACCATGTGTGTCAATTTTTTCATGAAGTATATCATCTGTATCCACATAACTAACAGATGGATGTTTACATTTTTTTACTTTTTTTGGTAGAACAGTATCATTTGCCAAAGCAATTTCCTAAAAATCAAATATATTAAATATTAAACATTGATAAGTGTATAATTATTCAATTTGCTTTCATGATAATTAATAAAATTATAAAATAAATTCAGAAGCATAGCAATTAATATACCATACATTTTATTTCATTTTCTTGGTCACATAAATGTAAATTCAAATTTTAAAAATGCTCGCCTTCTATTTTGTTCATAAACTTTAACCAGTAGCATTATTTGGGGGGGGAGATCAGGGTGTACAACGGCAACACTAACCAAATAGTTTAAATAATTGGCCCACCATTGATACTTCTAAGTGTTGTTATAGTACACACATTACATTAGACCTCGTAAATATCTACTAATTAAAATGTAGTTATTAAAAGCAATGTTTTGTATGAAAAGTAATGTTTAATTTTGAAATTAAAGTGAATTCCTTTACACCTCATTTGCTTTTTTTCTCCAAATAGTAGTGAAATGACTTCAGTTATATGCTTATAAGGTTTCAATTGTTGAATTGTTGTTTGAAAATTAAAATGTAATTATAATTAGTATTATAATAGAGAAGGAATTAATATTAACATACATTTATACAACATAAAAATATACACATTTTTTTAACAGTCCTGGTTAAATGTTAAAATCAGCCTGCCTAAATCCTCGCACACCCGCAAAAAAAACTGAAATGTCGTGCCCTACTATAACACATACTATATACATTATATAAAATTCTGTAGTATAAAAATGTCTTACATAAAAAAAAATAGTTTATAGTTGTGTTGTATTTATTGTTCTGCAATGCTACTATTAAAATAAGTTTGTAAACATAAATATTTACATGTAACATACATTTTAAGTATCATTAAACCTTATAAAATTAGTTTTAATTTTTAGAATGCTCTTAAAAATTTACTGGTTTACTATAATACCTACTTATATTTGAATGTAACTACATACCTTACTAGGTTTTTTTTTTTTTTTTTTTTTCAATCTAAAAATAAAAAAAGATATTATTCAATATAAAAAACTTACCAATAATCTAAATAGTAAATATTTTAATGATATACATGTTAAAAATGCTTAGTTATATATATAGAACTGTATTCTGATGATTTACAGTTAATCAAAAAGAATATTTAAAAGCTTTTTTTACAAACTAAGCATTTCAGTTAAAATTGATTTTATACTCACAATAGTTTATTATTTTTGTTCCCTTTAAGATTTTTGAAAGTAGAAGTAACATTTTCAGCTCCTAAAAATTAAAAACCCATTTAAATTTATTTAATTTGTCAAATCAAGATCATCAGTAAATTCATATTAGAGTTCAATGAAAATAAAAATAATAATAAAAAATAGAAAAGTTAAACAGGAACTATTTCTTCATGAACTGAAGTAAATGTCTTGGTTTATTGATTAGTAACAGATCTGTAAAGTTTAACTACGGTAAAATTACTGTTTTTCAAAATATTATCTATAAGTACCAAACATTTTATAAACAGTAAACAAAAGTTGAAATAAAATTATAAAATTATTTAAATAAATAGTTAAAAAAAAAATATTTATGATAAAACATTTATAATTTTTTTTTGTTCTTACTTCTACAGATTTCTCGTTGTAAAATTTTAATCAATAAATCTGCTTCAGTAGTCATGTTAATTTTAAGTAACGAAAAGTTAAGAACAGCAAACTACTATGTTGTTTTTATGTTTAAAATTAATTGATAAACAAAATATATACAAGTAATACAACGAACGAGCGCATTTCACTAACCGTTTAATTGATATAGATAGTACTATCCATAATCAATGATTGTACTAAAAATATGGATATTTATAAAATTTAAAAAAAAAATAATGCAAGTACTATAAATAACATAAGTCATAATAATTACTTCTCGCTAGTGTGATAAATTATTCGAGGGAAAAACGAACGTATTCAACGATATGCGAATGCTCATAGAAACAATATTACAAAATTATCACAGACTATGAGCACATGATTTCGATTATAAACAGTTGATAAGAAATTAGCGGGTAAAGCTAATTCAAATATCCCATCCCGTTCTGAACCATTACTGAATTGTGTGACAACTTTGAGTCTCAGAGCCGTCCTGATGAATTACGAGGCCTTAAATGTCGAAAATGTCACTATCGCGATAGCAATAGCTGCAATAGCAGCGACGAAACCACGCTATTCATTTTTCGGGGAACTACAATATTAATTACAACCACCAAAAATAGAACGAAAGTGAATAATATAATATTATAAAATATTATAAATATTATAAAATACTATAAATAACATTTTATTGTGTTCCATTCAACAATTTTATATGAAAAAAAAAAAATTATATGTACAATTTTTTTTTGTTAATCAATTTAACTTTTTTTTATTGTATCTATGATCTATGAAAGCAAGGCCTGTCCAACTGTGGTGAGAGCGCGGGGCCCAAGACGAGGGCCCCGCTCGCCCTACCCTATAGACGGCCCTGTTGAGCCTACAACATAGAATAAATAAACTGAGATATAAAATATAAGATATACTATAGACTAAATATGTATATTTAATCCATGCCTACGGTTATTGAAATTTTTTATGTTCAGTGAATTTTTTTTTTTTTTTTTTTTTTTTTTATTTCGTGTTTTAATCGACGGCGCCACGGGAACAGCTTGCGCATTACTTCCGTGAATATGTTCAGTGAATTTAGAATAATTGTAAAAGTACCACGTAAGGAATTTCAACCCCCAAAAAAGATGTAAAGAAAAACGGTCAAAAAACCGTGAATATTTGTAAAAACAATTGATAACTAAGTGGAAAGAGATATCCCTAACTCATAAGCGATAACATTTATTTTCTCGGTCAATCCTTCATCTTTTTTTTTTCAAAATTTTCAGTTTTTTCTGAAATCGATAACATTTTTTTAATATACCACCAGTGCCGTAAAAATCATAGGTGCAGACGGTGCATAGCGCCGGAGCCCGTAGGGTCAAAGGGCCTATAGCAGATAGCCATCAATTTTTCTTTTTTAATTTGATTTAATTTGATTCATAATTATTGTATTATTATCTTGTATTTAATTTTATATAACAAAAAGTCCGGTCCGTTTTATTTGGAATTGTTTATCTAAATATTGAGAAAAATATTAAGCCTAGAGAGACATAAATAGATTACTTTTACATATATACTTTTATATCTTATTGCAAAATATATTTTTAAAATCAATAATCATATATTCATATTAGGTACATATTTTATCCATATTTGTAGTTTATTCTACAAGTATTTTTATTAATAAAACCTCCCAACATACAATTGTGATATTGTATACCTACTAAGTTGAAGCTTTACACAAAATTGGTTCAGTGAGAAAATTATCTATAGGTTCTTTGAAATTCAATACATCCAAAAATACTATCCGATCTAAGGAGTAAAAAATTCCCATAGTGTGAAATCAATCAGACATTTTTATGTAACTCAAGAAATAGGGACCCATGTACATTTGTCTGCACCTGGGTCTTTCACGCTCTAGTTACGGCACTGTATACCACCAGAACTTAACATAACAAAATCACAACACCAAATAATGGTAAACTAGTTAACGAACTGCACAAAATTAAACCACATAATACAATGAAACACGAGTGTACGATTAATGTAATACTATAAAATAAAACAATAAATACGAAATTTATACACAAACGAGTAAAGTTAATATTTTCATTATCTCACAATTACTAAAATTTATCAGAATCCGTTGAACAAAAAATCACAGATTACATAGAGAAAACCCATAACAGATAGTTTTTTATATTGACAAGAGTAGGAAATATCTAGAGACTTAAGAATTAAAATTTAAAAATTTTTGTGAATTTTTAATAATGAAAACTGTTATGGATTTTCAAGATTTTTGTCGAGTTTGGTCAATATTCAATGATCAAGCAATAATAAAATAATTTTTTAATTATTTTTAATTGTATTTTACTAACCAGAAATAAATTATGAGAGTATAGAGTATGATGAATTTAATTTTTAATTTTTAAGACTTTTTGTCAAATCAGAATAATTTTTACAACAATTTTACAAAAAAAAAAAAGCTAAAAAATATGGTCTTTTAAAATAGCTATAAAAAACTACTTCAAATAAGTCGAAATCTTGCGTAAATTATACCATCTATAGTGATCGGTGATATAAGCATTTAGTGAACATTTCAAAAACATTTCAAATTTATTATTTTTTGAATTGTGACAAAAAAATAAAATCGATTTAGACAATTTAGGTACCTAAATTTTACTGTTTTTTTATTTTACTTTTTATAAGTTTTTTTATAACTATTAAGAAAAATCTTGGGAATTTCCAAAATTATCCCTCCCCTCGCTCAAAGTACGAACTACATAACATTTTCAATCAGAAATTTCTAAAGATGTGATGATCGGACTATCGGTGTAATCCTTCTGATCGAAAACAATCAATGTTTATATTTAATTATATATAGGCATATACATTGATTTTAAAATATACTCTAAACATAGTAAATTCTTAAATCAATAGTATATACTAGACATAGGCGATACTAGACCCTCTTGGTAGTAGGGGACAGGAAATACTTTAAGTAAAATATTAACACTATTTTGTCTAAATCTTTAGACTAGCAATACTATAAAAAAAAGTATTCTATTGATAACTATTTTAACTTATTTCAAATAAGATTATTTTGTAAAATGAATAATACACTTACAAATACCTACATTTATATTATTTTATCTTATAAAATTTTATAATAATAACTTACCACAATTCACCTGTGTTGGTTTTCATAGGCGGACCCAGAGTGATACATTTGAGTGTGTCCTGTCATTTTTTGGTTATTTTTTCAAAATATGAAGGGGAAGCTATAAACACGTACGTGTAGACCGTGTTATGATTTAAATTCTAAAAATAAAGGCTTCGTTAATGATGTAAAATAACGATTGGTAAAATATACATGTAATTATTATTTCAGACTTATTCTGAACACTTGCAATATTACTTACAAAAACTAAAATTTAATTAATGTATATGCACATATATTCTCAATTGTAATTATTTAATTTTTTTATTCGCATTATTCACATTAAAGTGTACCAAGGCACACCCGGCACACCTCGTAGAGCAGCCTATGATGGTTCTTATATGAAAAATTCGTATAAAGTTTTTAATTTTTTACTTTGCTTTGTGTTCATCATTTTTATTATAATTAATATTATCCAAAAATCTCAAGAATACTAAATAAAATACATACTTCAAATCAAAGTATAAAATCATACAAAAAGTTTGTGATACAGATAATCAGTCTTGTAAAGAATACTTTTATTATGTATTCAGAATACGTATTTGGATAGTTTAAAAAAAATGTATTCAGAATATATAATCGAATATGTATAAAATGTATTCGAGTACCTATTCGAATACTTTTAAAATATTTTTTTTGCCAATTTATGTTAATTTTGGAATGTTTGGAAGTTCATGTTTGATGGTAAATTTTACTATATAACGTATAAAGTAAATGAACAAATAAATACTAAATATAACATATTTTATATCAGTTAATATTTAATATACCAAATATTCAAATATAATTATTATTAAATTGTGAATACCAATTGTATTAAAAAATGCACGTTTTCATTTAAATTCCCCTTGATTTTAATATTTTTATTAATAAAATATTAAAATACACCGCACATTATATTAAGTAAATACATACAGACTACAATACACCATAATTCGAATGTAATCTTTTATATACCTACCTAATTTAAAAATAATCATATTCATTATTAATTTATATTTCCACTAAAATGACTGAAGAGAAAAACTATTGTTCATAATTTATTATATACTGTATAAAATCTACGATTTAAAATTTAAAAATTGCAGTATTGTCCCAAGTTTGAAACAATTTTATAAGTTCAGATAAAAGTATTTTTATAGTAAATAAAAAATACAAAAAAAAGTATTCAGAATAAGTATTTGAATAATTTTTATGAAAAGTATTTAAAATAGTATTCGAATATAAAAAAGTATTCAAATACTTTTATTCGAATACTTTACAAGACTACAAATAATAATAATGTAATAATATTGGTTCATGTTTTGTCAATGATAAAATAAATTATAATAATATTGAAAATGTTGACGCAAAAAATCTTATCAGCATATTTACTTAAATGGCTCCCACGATTGGAGATAATAATATTATTACTTACAACCATGCAGACTCTAAATAAGCATGTAATATGAGGGGTTACCAACCAATATTTGAAATGTATAGAGAGAGTAAGAACTCGCAGGGGGGGCAGCCGTCTACCTTGTCCCTCCCGTAGTACCACCTATGATACTAGATTATAAATAAACCTTGAAAAATGGGTACCTAGATTTGTAAAAAAAAAAAAACCATCATCATGGTGAAACCAATAGTTTATTCGTTTCTATCACAATCTAAAGAAAAATTTACATGTATTTCATATTGTTACTATTTATGATTGATGTTGTACTAAATTGAGTACTATATAGTATTACAGTAGTACAAAACCGATGTTGATACCCGATACACTGAGAACGATCGTTTCACGATTCATTACACTAAAATTACAAGAATTCCGCCGGGTCCGGAATATCATGGAGGAAAAAATAAAATACGGTCCATGTAGCTTTCCAAGAGGGTACGATCTTTTCGCGCCTTTTTGATCTGGAATACAATGCATTGTTAGGTTAAAGAATCGTCCCGATAAGATAAATAACAATAATTGTAGTCAAAATATTCTCAAAAGTCTGGGACATCGGAAACGGCCGATGTTCGAGTGTTACGAGGAAACTTAAAACCTTTACCTAGTCTCAATCGGTTGTTGCAGTGTTGATGTAAAATTACAATATTGCTTATTTCGGTCGTCGTTTCGTTGATGAAAATTTCCATTAATTCGAATCCGACGTCTTTTGCAGATCATCTGTAACCATGTCCAGCAGCAGTCCGGCCGACAAGTCTTCCAAGAAGTTGAAGCAGGCGTGTTTACCGTTCAAGTTGGTCAATTCGCCTGGGGACGAGGCTAATTCCAAATGCCGCAAACGTAAACTCAGTGGCACTGAAAATGATGATACGCGAGTGGAGAACCCTAAGGTCGAATTGCTTAATGGAGGGACCAAGTGTTTTATTAAATCTGACGAAGTAAGTTACAAACTATGAAGCAATTATTAGATACTTTTACTTAAGCTAAATTATTACTTGATTTTATTCAAATTCAATGTTTCCTGAGTCTTGATTAATACTGAATATTTTCCTAAATGTATTATCTGTATTTGGTGTTTTAATGTATTGATTTTTAAAATATATTTTCAATACCATTCTGGAATAGTTAGAAAAATAACTTTTATTGATATGTAAATTTATGAATTTTAACAATTACAATTTATATTAGTAACTTATTTGAATATCTATTATTACTTATATTCAACAAAATGTGTTTTACTCCTTGCTTATTCAAATTGCCCTTTTAAATATTAACAATTTTCCTATGCCAAACATTTTAAAATCATTTATATTCAATATTTCATTTAAACATGAAAATAAAGGCAAATAAATAATACATTTTAATTTTCTTCAGGAAATAAATGATGAAGATAATGATATGAAAGTAACTGATGTTGAAAATCCAGATGATTCAACTGTGTCTTTGAAAAATATTGAAAATAATGATAAAATAATAACCAAAGAAGAAACATCTAAAGTTAATGAGAAAACTCTAGATGATAGTATTTCTATTTCTTCAGATTCAGATAATACTCAAAATGATACATCTGTTAATTCTTCTCTAGATAACGATAAATTAAATTCACCATCTTCAAGAAATATTACTTCAAAAAAAATGTTGAAAAAACAAGAATCTGCAAAAAAACAAAAAGAAAGACTAAGGATAAAACTGGTTAGTTGAGTATTCATACATTTTATATCTAAAGAACAATATTATTTTTAAGTTTCTGATGTTTTGATATTTTTATATAATTTTATTTTTTCGATAGGAAAAAGAAAAAGCTCGAGAAGAAAAACTCAAAGAACAAGCAGAAAAGCTTCTTTTAAAAGAACAAAAAAGAAATGCTGAAATTGAGTATGTAATATCATATACAATTATTTTACATGTAAATTAATAATTAAAATGTTTTTTTTATCTTTCAGAGCCAAACGCTTACGTGATTTAGAAAAGAAACAGAAAGAAGAAGAAAAAAAGGCTAAAGAATTAGAAAAAGAAAAAGAACGAAAGCTAAAAGAAGAAGAAAAAAAAGCTAAAGAATTAGAAAAAGAAAAACAAAAAGAAGAAAAACTTTTAAGAGAAGAAATGGAAAGGAAGAAAAAAGATAAGGTTAAAGCTGCCTTTGTTGGGTTTTTCAAAACAAAAAGTTTTAACTCTGAGACTTCTAAAAAAGATGTGGAAATAATTGATCAAGAACAAGAAACTTATTTTATGCCTTTCCAGGTAAATATAATTAGAGCTCAGATGTTTATGTACTTAAAATGAATGTAGTATGTATCCATTTATGCGCTAAAAATTTACCAAATACACATTTAAAATATGTACAAAAAAATATAAAATATGCATTTTAGCCACAAAAAGAATGCACTAGAATAAAACATACAGAATAAAATTTTAAATTTATTACAAATTATAAATGTTTGATTTTTATTAGCTATAATTTTTATAATTTTTTAATATTATATACAAATGTACATTATGAATGTTACACTATGATACGTTTTTTTTTTTTAATTTCATCAAAATTCAATCTTAAAATATTTGGGACAAAGACTATGGGTCTAATACTAGCTGTGCACACCTATGTATCATATTAAATTGTGGTTCACATTAAATTAGATCAATAGAAAAAAACTATGTAATTTCATAAACATTTTAGCTGTAGTAATAACTTATTACTTATAAGTCTAATTAATTTTTATAATTTAATTGAAATAATGTTTTACAAATAAACATTATACAACTTTTTATTCAACATTGTAAAAATAATAATTTTCATTTCTAAAAAATAACATATAAATTAAATGTTACAACATACAATTGTTTGTTTTATTATTGTGGTTTTCAAAAATTTTTGAAACAACATTCTTTAATATTTTGAATTTATTTTTTTTTCAGACTAAACAAGATATGAAAATAGCTCCATTTTGTAGAGCATATTTGAATAGCGATAGAAAAAAAATAATAGACAACTGTATTTGTCAATATGAGCAAAATAAAGACTTATTGTATTTACATTTATTAAAAACTGGGAAACACAAACCTTCCAAATCTGATAGAACCTGGCCTGTTCATAATGAAAATGATGATGATCTTATTATCATTGGTATGTATTTTATTTGAAATTGGTAGTTAAATTATTTATAATTCTTTAGTATTGTAATTATTTTTAATGCACAATACAACTTGTATTGTATTGAAACATTTTAAAAAATAGAGTAATTTTTCATTATATTAAATTGAATTTACTCTTTATTTTTCACTCTCATTATTTAAATCTTAAGTTTAAATATTTTCCTTAATATATTAATAATATAATTTGACCACTTTTTGCATACATTTTCTGTAAGTTATAGTTATCCTATATTTTTTAAAATATATTAAGCTTACAGGTTCAAAAAAAAGGAAAAAAAATTGAATATTTAGTGGGATTAAAGTCATATATCATTAATTTTGATCATTTGAAAAAGATAAGAAAATGTATAATTTAAATAATTATTTGAGTCCGGTATAAAATGTTGTGATTAATGCTAACTAATGACTAAATATAAAAATGTTTACATTGTAGTTAATATATTTGTACTATGCTTAGTAAAATTTACTGTTAATTTTTTAGGAGTCTAATTTCCTGTATTCCATTTCAAAAGAGAATATACCTGGCCACAACTGGTTTTTCTCCGGTGGTGTATAATTCTGATTGATAATGAATGGTGGAAGGGGAAAATAGGGTTCAGAGCGACATACTCGATATAAATTGATCCAAATTCCTCAGAACTTGTATATTCTCTTTTGTTTTGAAACAAAATATAGTATATGATTATCTTAGTCTTAATTTTAAACATTTTACAACCATTTCAATGATTTATACGTATCTTAAGAAGTTCAACATTATTAAATTTAATTAAATTTTGATGAATACGAAATAATATAAAACAAAAGTTAAAATAATAATAAAATTATACATTTTTGTTCTTTATCAGTACATTCAAAGTGAAAACCAATACACTTAATAGTCATAGATAACTAATAGGAATTTTGTAGTAATTAACTTACATTTATTTAGAAACTGGTTCAAATGCTGAAAGCGATGGAAACACTATTAATACTAGTCTTAAAAACAACTTTCAAAAAAACAGATGGAAATTGTTACAGTTTAAGGAAAATAAACGTCCTCCATATTGGGGTACATGGAGAAAAAAAAGTCTTTTTGTTAAACCAAGGAGACCATTTGCTTATGACAAAGTATGTATTGACTTACATTATTCTTATTTTAATTTTTACTTAATAGTAAATATTGTGTTTTATTAGATAATGTTTGATTATGAAATTGACTCAGATGATGAGTGGGAAGAAGAAGATCCTGGTGAAAGTATACATGGTACAGATAATGAAGAAGAGCCTGAAGATGATTATGAAGTTGATAATGATGTTTTTGTACCTCATGGATATTTGAGCGACGAAGAAGGTCAAGACAATGATACAGATGATGTAATAATATAAGATTTTTATGTAAATTTAAAAAATAAAATAAATATTAACTTAAGTTTATATTATTTTGAAGTCTGAAGAAGCACAAAAAGAAAAACTAAAGTTACTAGGTGAAGAATTTGAAAAAGAAATAAAAAAAAAAACAGAACGCATTAAACCAAGACTTGTAGGTTGTATATGGATACCAAATAATGTAACAAATCCTGAAAATGGTAACATTTGAATATATTTTTTAATTTCATTCTTAATTTTATTATGTTTTAAAATTATTTTAGTGAGTAAATCTGTTGCTGACACTTTATTAAAGTATCGTTGTATATGGGATGATGAAGAACCTATTATAACAGAAGCACCGGTGATAATAGATACACTTAAGGATTTAAATATATCTGAAAACAAAAAAACTTTATTACTTCCAGATTCAAGTACATATGAATATAAAAATAAATATATGTTAATGTTTATATTATTTTTAATTAAAAAAATAATTATATTAATGTTATATAAGTAAAATTGTATTTATATATTATTATAATCAAAATTTTCAAATTCAACTATTATTTAGTTAGACTAGTTTAAATTTATTTGCCGACATCATTTATTTTAAAATACAAATATTCATTAATTTTTTAGTTTCATGTTTACATTCTTGTTTGTTCTATTGTGTTTTTTTCTTATTATAACTACAATTTAGAAAATTGATTCTGAAATATTTTAAATTTATACTGGTATTATTATATAAACATTAATCTATTATTTTTAATATTAATTTTTGTTGTAGTTATTCCTGATCTTATAACATTTATACATGGAAATTCAAGTGGTATTAAAGTAGCTGCTATTAATTTTTTTGCTGAAATTGTTAAAAATGGTAAAAATATAGATGATAATAATTTAATTTCTGTAACATCTGTTAAACGAACTATAAAAGCAATTGCAACAAAAGCTTCTCATATGTCACCATGGTATTTTTGATTTTTTTTTTTTTTTTATAAAGTAGTTAATATAATAATTTTCTAAAAAAAAATTAATTTTTTGCAGGTGTGTTAGTAAAGATACTTTTGAGAAGTATGGAGTCCAATATCCTAAAAGTGTGGAAATTGAAGTTCCAAAACCCATCAAATCATCTTCAGTTAAAAAAATTACAAGTTTTATGACATTACAAAGTCAAAAAACAAATACATCTTTAATAAACAAGTAAATTTCAAGCCATTTCATGTATATTATTTTTAATCAAACCGTAATCATAAATAAATATTTACTAGTATCTTTAATTTTTATTGTTAACTTTATAGGAGCAATTTCAATAAAAAAAACTAAGGATGCTCTGCATTTTCTGGGCATTTTAATTAATTTATAACTATGAGGCATTAGGGGCTTAGTTAGTATAGAGGTTCTCAAACTTTTCAGGCTAGGCTCTCCCACTTTGATCAACCCCAAACATGAACTCCCCTTATAAAAATAATTTAATGTAATTGTATGTTTAAAAATAGAATGACGGTCAATAGTGGTTTATCTATTAGTAGTATTTACTAGTATTTATTATTTACTATATATAAGTTAACCATATTATATATCGTCGGTTAATAGGCCAACTGATTTAACTTTAAAATATGAAATTTTACAGGAAGCAATAAAATAGAGTTATTTTGTAATCCTTATAACCTACAATGTTTTTTTTTTTTTTAAGATTTAAGCTTGGTATACTTATAAATCAATATTATATTTACTAAGCTAAATCAAATATAATTTATTGTATATTACTCCAAAGTTGACTGGTCTGTTGGATACATTACTTGGCGCGTTTCATAATATTAATTATTGTGGGTTTATGGTTACTACAATTGGCTCTTAATAAAAAAACAGTTTCAAATAGTGTAACCCTCAATTAAATTTTTTATTACATTTTTATGTACAATATTATTAATAATTATTAAAAACAAAATATTATAAATAGTTCTTTTGATTCAATACAAATTATTTAACACAATATGCCAATTAAAATTTAAAATATTTTAAAAACAATATTAATTATATTATTACACAAATAATTATTAGACACAAAATAATAATAAACTTTTTGACTTATTACTCATTATTTAACACAATATTCCAATTAAATTTTAAGATAATGTAAAAACAGTTTAACATTAAAAACAAAATAATAACAGTTAAATGTTTGACTCAGTACAAATTATTTAATAATAATAAAAATACTAAATTAATAAAAATAAAATTAATTCAATGAGTTTGTTTAAATGGGATACACTTATTGGCCAGTTAAACTGTACATTTGGTATAAGTTATGTGATGGATTACATGTAACTTACACTAGTTGGCCTAAAGGCATTTAATTGAATACACAATTTTGGGGAACTTTCATGGCTTAAGTTAATTGACATTTGATTGTCGATGTGACTTGAAAAAAATAATTTAAAGATTCATACTTACATTGAAAGGTGGTCCAAACGTTTACATTGTTGAATTAAAAATGAGGGAGGACATTTCGAATAATTCATATATGGTTAGAATTGTGATTGTTTATCTTATTTAAAAGTAAAAAAAAATATTTTCATACGACTAGTTGTTCTTGAGTAATGTATGCTTAAAGTACTCTCAGTATTTATGTCTCGACTATATATATATTTTCCTTTCTAATAAACAAGCCACTGTTTTACAAGCCTAAATGTTATCACAAATAAATAATTAAAAACTTACATTCTAAATATTTCAATAAAACAAAATGTCTTGTCAGTAAAACAAAAATTTAAGAATATATTAAGTACATAGTATTTTAAAGATGTATAATAGTAATTTTAAAAACATATGCTTGCATATGTCATACATTTAGGTAAATCGAACTTACAATTATTTAAATAATGATTACTTACTTTTCACTCATACTACTATCATATCCGAATGGACCTGCTCCTGATGTCGCAACTTCAATATTAGTTTCAATATAATTATTTGGCTTGATTATTCCAGGACAATTCATATTAGAATCAGTTCCTATGTTCCTAAAGATTAAATTTATTTTATTAAAAGTTGATAGTTAATAGTATTAAAAAAATTAAAAGAGGTATTTAATAATAAATTGTATATTACTTGACTGACGTCATTTTTTTCGCATTTTTTAGAGGTCAAGTTAGCTAAATTATATTTTGGTTTTTTATTTTGGAATAAATAACTTGCGCCGTGATTTTGTTCCAAAATGCCAATCTTTTCCCATTTAAAAAAAAAAAATACTTTGCACTGTTTAAATTTAAACTATTTTATGTATAACCACAACTGTTTACTAAACTGAACACCAAAAATCAAAATATTATAAAAGTGCACTATATAGCAAATGAACGAGTCGCGGTAAACTTTTCTGTATCCGTTTCCGATTCCGCAATCGTTCAGTCGAGCACAGGTTAATGACGGTCATTATCACGATAACGAATACGATAACCGATAGACTTTAATAATTCTAAGAACAATCTCATATGCATGCACAAGTCACTCAATTTAGGTATTGAATTTTTTTCGTTTTCAAAATCGGTACGACAGAGTTAAAAGAGAAAGATTTATTTAGTTACTTTTAGTGACCCGATTTACATTTTGAAAATAGATGTGTTTTAGTTAATCTTTGTTGCTAGGTTATGTAGGAAAAATAATTGAAATTTTAGAACGGTTTGCATGTAAATAACATAAAAATAATTTTATGGGTTTTAAGAAATTAACAGTGTTTTTTAAGCCTTATTGAATAAAAAAATTAAAAATGTTTCTCCTACATAACCTAGAAAAAGGAATGATGAATTCATACATATATTCAAAATTGAAATTGGACATCAGGAAGTACTAAAAATAATCTTTCTCTTATTGGTCTACAGGCATATAAAATACAGCATGCGCCAACAGCCTTAAAATAGTTTTTTTTTCTTTATTATTTATTCATTGATAGTTCCATGAAAGATGGGTGTATGATATTCTCTTTTTAATATTTTATTAAAATTAAATGTTTTTACCAATGTTATTATTGTTAATTAGATCATGTACGAAAACTGATGAAATTGTGCCAGAATCTACTCAAAGTGATTTTATTCCAAAAAATCTTTTTAACATTGAAAAATGTCCAAACCAACCAATTAAAGATGTAGTGAAGGAAGAACAAAAAGTTAGTATTATTGGCGGGAAAAAAAGAATAACACCTATTCTTTTATCACCTAAAAAAAATTTTAAGTGTTTAGCAAATCAAAAACCTAAAGAAAAATCTTTGAGTCCAGAACTTAAAATAGTTTGTGAAGGAACATAAAATTCTATTGTTAAAACTATTTAAATACTTATTTAATTGTTATTCAAATTATAGTATTTTGAATAGACATTGTTAATATATTGTTTATACATTAATTAAATTATTCCAATTTTATTTTTTTAAGTTTTATTAAATGAGTTCAAGTAGTATTTTCAATCTGATGTATAGAAATTATGAATAAAAAGAAATATCATATTTTATATGGTTTTTTTAATTTTTATTTTTATGGTGACTGACTATGAAATGTGTACAATAATAGTGCTCAGTGATAACTGCAAATATTTTTGTATCATTTAATCAAAATGTTAGTTATAAATTAGTTTAAGTAAATTATTTACAACAATAATTTTTTGATCATAAATATATTTTATTTTAACGACAAATTATACTTGTTTAATGCATTTCTTCGATTATCAACAATATATATGGCAAAATGAACAATTTGAAAATTTTATTACCTGAGTAGTGTTTTACTATTGTTAAGGTAATTTACGAGTCGCAGTACAACTCAAGGAGGAAGCGTCGATTTCAATAAGTTCTATTAAAAAAAAAGGTATTCGGTCGATTGACGACACCGAGCAATTACGATTACGATAACCGCGAGTAGGTACCTATAAGCTATATTTATTAGCAGGGCTCGTAAGTTCATGCATTTGCATATCAATCTTGCAAAGTTATATTAATATTAGATAACATAGAAATACATTTCAAGGTATTAAGTTTAAATACGTGAAATCTTATTTTGCATGTTTTTGTATATTTGGCATAGGTTACGAATACATTTGTTTCAAAAATTTCGGAATTAAAATGAATTACTGACAAAGACTTACATAATACGCAATTCATGAAGACTCAAGAATAATATTAAATAGTATTTAAATTCTATTTTTTTATAATTGTGACATAAAAAAATAAAATATAGCTATAAAAAAAATAAATGGATAATTCGTGTTATTTTTATGATTTTTTTAAGTAAGCATATTTTAAGTGCATCATTTTAGAAATTTAGTATCTGTAAATGCATATTTTTTAACTTTTAAGGCATATTTCAAAGCGGTGGCGTATGTAGGGAGGAGTGCCTAGTGGACTACAGCCCCCCCCCCCCGAAATGTTTTAAAAAACTTAAAAATTATTTTAAACGTTTGTTATATTTTAACGATGCTTTATGCTTATTTAGAATTTGGGTACAACGTCAAATCGTTTTGGGACATCCTGTACATGAAATGTAGATAAGTACCTACTGTGTCTTGTTAGTAATTCTTAGGTACCAGTGGTAATTTAACTCTGTCCATAGTAGCCTCTCCAGAAAATTTTTTCTGTATACGCCACAGTTAGATAATATTTTAATACAGAGTAGAAAAGTTTAGTTTGTTCTGCGGTCAGGGGTCGGACGGGCAAGATCCAATGGATGATGGGTAAATGTACAATTATTATTATTGAAATATATTGATCGGTATGTATTTATAAATATATATTAATAAGAAAAAAAAGATTTCTAACGTAGTCCTCCAAAAACGGTGGTCATCTGCAATGACATTTTGTAAATGAATTAATTCATGGAGGGTTTAAAAATACACACATTATGTCATTATATTGTCGTGTTTTGATTAATAATTTTTAAGTGTAAAAACACAGTATTAATTTTATTGAAATAAAGTGAAAATAATAATGAAAATAATAAATGTTACATATTTCCTATTTGTAATTACCATTATTATTAATTATTATTAACACCATTAAGTATTGTACACAGTGACGGTGCTAGAGTTTGCGAGGCCCTGGGCAAAATTAATGTTGGGTCTTATGATTTATATCAATAAAATATTTTAAGTTCAGTTAAATCAGAATCGCGGGGCCTTAATTATAATTTAAGGCGCGGGGCCCTGGGCTACTGCCCCTATTGCTCACCCCCTCGCGCCGTCCCTGATTGTACACAGTGACGTATCTAAGATTTTTTTCTAGGAGGTGATTTAACCATAACTATTTTGTACATTTGGAGCTAAGGGGACAAATATCTTCTAGGAGGATCTTGATCATACTTTTCCAGTTTCTGTATAGTGTACTTTTATATAACATGATTTTATTTAAAACTATACCAACATTAATAATATTATACATTTATTTTCATAATAAGTATAAGTTGGATCACAAAATAATGTCAATGTCAAATTTCTGTTCGCCGATCGGTTAATTTTAAACGAGACACGATTACACGAAAGGACTGAGAGCAAATGTGAACACTGAACACATGGTTTACGCAGTATCGCTAATATAGTATAAATTAAATAATCGCTGATATAACTGATTAATAGATATATTAACTAACCATGAACATTAGGATATTAAACTATAATAATAATAATAATTCATCATAATTATCAAATGTTCACGATTTTCTTGAAACTACTAACTATATTGTCTACAACTGTCTATGTCTATTATTAACTTCTATTGATAACGAACTGATGGAATACCTAGAAATACTAAGAATCCATTACGGACTTACGTCTCAAGCATTTAATAGAAAAATAAGAAAAATGAAATTAATAAAAAAAAAGGTTCTGGGGGGTGATATATCACCCAGATCACCCCCCGTAAATACGCCACTGATTGTACAATACGAATATCTTACTCTATACTTACATTTTTCAGTCTGATCGTTAGAAAATCGTATACCAGTCTACTTGCATGTTTCTTTTCATAATGAAATCGTATGATGGAGAAGGATAAAAAGAATAAACCACGAACACTTTTTTTATCACATTTCAAGTGCAACGGACGTTTGCACTTTTAACGATATGTATTCCGCAACATATACCTAGTACTGTAATAACCCAAAAATAACAAGAAAAAAGGTGTATAGTTAGATTTATCAGGTTATAATAACCTTTCTCCTTGTTTAGAGAACAGGTTTAAAAAGGTTCGTGAGCTGATTAATGCAACTGGATAGCCTTTTAAGCTAGACATAATAGCACTTGTTCTATGGCAGACGAGTCGATGCGTCAATGGCCAATCGCCTACAATTATTGTAGAGATAGAGTAAAGGTGGAAATCAATTGACACAAACACCGTAAATATATATTAATACATTTTATTTTTTTAATGGTATTACATTTTGTATCACAATAATAATCAACTTAAATTTAGATTAACAATATATTTTTTTTTTTTATTTTTTTTTTTACAAATAAAATTTTTATATTACTTAAATTAAATGTTAATTAAAAAAGTTTTTTTTTTTTTGAGTAAAATTTTATATTACAATAATGATTAACTTACCTTAAATTTAGATCAACAGCATTTTTTTTTTTAGTTCTTTTTTTTTACAAGTTACATTTTTACAGTACATTCATGATTAATTTATCTTAAATTTAGATTAACAGTATTTTTATTTGTTTTTTGGCCCTTCTGCTTTGGAGACGGTCATTGGATATGCTCCCGATCCACACATATAGTTGAAGCATATAATCATGAGCACCAAACAAATAAACGAAACGAGATGTTAACATCTAAATACTTTTGAACTGGCCCGATTTCCAAATCAATCTTTTACCTCTTATTTTCACGTTCTTAGGCACCGCCGAAACCTCACACTCCTAGAAAAGACCAAATTTCACAAAACAAACAAAAGATCAGCTACCGTGCGGCTCCAAAAACGCAACGAGCTGCTGCTCTTGCTATGTGGTTACCGACGATCGTAGCTCTGCAACATTTCTACACTCGCAATTCGACTGCTTTGTCTTCAGCCACCGTACGGCTCCAAATATGAAATGAGTTTCTACTCTATGCAGTTGGTTACCAACGAATGTGGCCCTGTAGTATCATGAATCTTCTAATCTAACAGTCGAATTGCTAGCTACCACACGAGACTTCCAAGGTCAAAGAGATCGTTCTCTTGCCACGTCAGGAAGACCGTGTGTAGCTCTGTCCCCTCCCCCCAAGAAAAAGAACCTCACATTTCAGTACGAAAAAACCTCATTCGAACTCAAACCAAACTACCACAGATAAGACCGCAATTCACAAAAAATACGAAATGCTATCGTGCGGCTCCAAATAAGCAAGCAGTTGCTTCCCTTGACAGGTGGTTACCGACGATTGCAGCTCTCTATTATCACAAACCTTGCAATTCGAATATTGAATTGCTAACACACGAGAAATAAATTGTCATAGATTTTATTTTTTTTTATCACATGGATAACTTCATGTGTAGCTCTTACCCACCCCCCACGAATGAACTTCACACTTCAAACACAACCAGATTTTCCGCGATCTAACCACATAAATCCACAAATGGGCCAGTCCTTACCGATCGGTTACCTTTGCTCAAAGTTCTATCACTTTCTAAAAAGTACTTTTCTCTCCCTCGTACTAGTACACCACCGATTGTAGTCCAACAATCTCCAAAACCTCACACTTCTAGACAAGACCCCTTTTCACAAAACAAAAGAACAGCTACTGTGCGGTAGTTACCGACATTCGTAGCTTTGTATCATCCCTAACGTCGCAATTCGACTTCCAAATCTTCAGCTACCGTACGGCTCCAAGTATAAATTGAGTTTCTACTCAGTGCAGTTGGTTACCGACGACTGTAGCTCTGAAGTATCATAAACCTTCAAAAGGTCGTAAATGTCGAATTGCTAGCTACCCCACGGGACGTATATGGTCAAAGAGGTCGTACTCTTACCACTTCATGAATACCATGTGTAGCTCTATCTCCTACCACCGAAAAAAAGAACCTCACACTTTAAAATGCAACAACTGTAACTCTCTTGAAGTCAGACCTCAAAAGTTCGCTACCAGGTTCTCCTCCTTCTTACTCTTTCATCTAAGTCATATAAACATTAACTTCTCGTCTCGCTCATTGGCCCACTTATTTCAAGTGGTACAGTTATATGCTCGATCGGGTGTTACACAAACTCTGATTCGAATCCAAACGATAAGGGTTACAATAATTTCAATTTAAATATTTTTTTCAACGCCCTACCTTGAAGCTCTTCAAAACTATACTGAGGTTGTTCATTTCTCGTCACTGGTATCTGCTATGAGTAGTTCGACATTTGTTGATTGCTCATTCTTATACTTTGGTTGTATTAGAAATTAAAGACTGAATATCTGTCGGTTGTAAAATATAACATTTAATTACTTATTTTATAGAATACTAGCTGAATTACCCGTCGTTGCCGGGTTTAAGTATATAAAT